TATTTCACCGGCTGCACAATTAATGGAAATGTGCAGATAAATGTGTATAAAGAGTAAGTGCCTGGCGCACCATGTCTGCGTTACATAGCAACGGTGACAGCGGAGTCCTGAGGGAACTATTTTTGTTGGCGGAAGACAAATAAAATGCTTAAATTATCTATTTTGTCCTCATTTTTCAACATTTCTTAATCAGCTTTGCTTATTTAATTGTTGAACTGTTGTATAAAAGCAATATCACACTCGAGCTTGTGATGTTGTACTGTGATATCGTCACGGCTGTGATTGTCTTCGGCACTCGGCCTGCAGCCTCGTGCCTATGACCGAATCACAGCCGTGACGATATCACAGTACATCACTCCCTCTCGTGTGATATTGCTTAATTATCCTAAGATACTAACTCATAATTTTGATACCAAGTTGTTATTTTAAAAAAGATTTTATTTTTTTTTTCAGAAAATATCTCATTATTTTCAGAATACTTCTCATTATTTTGCGATTTTAAGTCAATATTTTGTTTCTCATTATTTGAGATAATAGCATTATTTTGGGTAAATCTTTCATAGTTGCTATGGTAATACTCAGTGTTGGAACTTGACCATCTTAAAAGCACTCACCAGAAGATTGAAACCTTGTCACTCATTTTAAAAGAAAGCAGAACTTATACATCAGCTCTGTTGGTGAGATGAAGCTATTAAGAATTAAGCTTAGACCCCGTAGACACCAGAATAGAAACCATCAGGGGCCCCTAGCACCCCTACGTACACGCACATACACACACACACTATGCCATAGGCTCCCAGCACAGTGCACAAGGCCCCATTTATAAAACATTCACAGCTCGGCTCATTTCAAAAGGAAAAGTGGAAAAAAAAATCAAAATTATCACCCTATGATGATGCAATGCAGATGAAATAACCTCCATCAACACACGTACACATGCAGAAGCAGACACACACACACACATCGAAAGCGACCAAATTGCACTCATGTTTTGCACTTAGTTTGACAGTCTAAGAGGGAGAGTTTTGGAGTGTTAGCTTTTCTATTTTTATCAGGACATCTTTGATGAATATCCTACGTGTGTTTAATTTAATGCTCTGTGTGCTCTGAGGGCTTGTCTGACAATCAAAGAACCAGATATCAGCAATAACAGAACATATAGGGAGACAAAAGAGGGTGCTGTGGGGCTTAACTTTACATAGAGTGATAGAGACATAAAACTGTTAATGACGCGTATGCATATACTAGCAAAAAATGCATTAAATATTGTATATATCATCTGATATGCACATGTCCCTGTAAGTGTGTGTGTGTGTGTGTGTGTGTACTATGACACAAAGCCAGCATCCCCCCCCCCCCAAATCGACACTGAAGGGGGATTTTTTTCTTTCTAATGCAGCAGACCCTACGCTGTAGCCTACACACACATGGCCTACGCCATTGTGAGCAAATATACTTGTGCGGTGGTGTGTCTATGTCACTCTGCAGTTACACCTCCAAAACACTAGTCGGCGGTGGAGGTTTCTGTGAAGTGCTGTAAAGTTTGGTTGATTCAAAACACACCCAAAACACAAATTAAACATGGCGTAATAGCAACAATTTCAAACACAAGTACACAAATGAGCTTCACTATAACTCGCAGCATTCACAGACAACGCATTTGCATAAATTAGCCTAGTGGCTAGCGGACTTTTTCTCTACTCAAATGACGCCAGGGACAACAGCAACATTTAACAAACGTAATGTTACAAAATTTGGCTCTATTACAACTGACAACATTCACTGATAAAACAGCTGTCTCATACTAAACACGTTTTCCAAACAAACATAACATGCTAATGTTATTAGCACAAGCCTATGGCATTTTACATTCTATTAATTAGGCTAGCTACCTCTACTCATATGAAGCCAGGATAAATAACACACAAGACTTAAAATGCTATTTTTGTGAAGGCTTTATTGTCTTCACAATTTAAAGTTTCTTATCTGTGAAATTAAAATAAATAAAAGCTTTGTTTCCACTGAGAGAAGTGGTTTCAGCTTCCAAAAATAGACAGGAGGTCTGCGTTGCTGCGACGTGTAGTTACATTTCTGAGAAGGTGCATGTCAGCCTACGGTGTAGGGTGCGCCGTAGGCTCTTTGTAGAGTAGGTACGGAGATAGATTCAAGGCAAGTGTGAATTCCGCCTAACTCAGATAGGTTGTGTAACAGAATGCACATGCAAAGCCATTCACATGTTACAGTTGTGAGGAAAAGAGGAGAATTCACTAACTGTTGATGGCATGGGATTTTTTTTTCTCAATTACAGAGCAGTGATCATGTTTACAAACCAGATTGCATTACTGATGAGAAATTCTAATGTTACTGACTTTTAAACAAGATGTATGTAAATGACTATTTCACTAACAGCAGGGGAGACAGAGAATGTGATTTGGTGAGCAAGAAAGCAGAGAGATGAACTACAGTAACAGTAACAAAAATTCAATCAGTAGAGACTCATTCTGTGAGAAAAGAATATTTATTTACATGTGCGCATAAGTATGAGAAGGGTGAAAAGTCTTTGACGATTAGACCCCATCGTGATGTCATCTATTCCAGGAGGGTGGTAAAGACATAGTAGATTAGACATCACCCCCTATGGAGTCTAGACGCTGGTGGTGGTAATGGTGGTGATGAGATGAGATTAAGAGGGGGCTGAGGATCTGGATGTGAAGAGGAATGGGCTTTTGATGAGCTTGTCCTGGGCTCTGGATAAGGTGACTGGAGGTGAATGGTGTGGAGGACAGCTGAAGGAAGCAGAGAGGAGAACAGATGAAAAGTTTTGCAGCAGCGACCTGAATGGCCGAAGGAGATCATTGCAAAGTTTGATTGGCTAACCTGAGAGGGAACACCCATTGTCAGCTGAATGGTGGAAGTGGTGGGAGTCGGATTGACGGAGAATTGTGAATGGATATAGTATAAAAAAAGTCTTCCTGATTAAACTTATGCTGGGCTTTGTAAGCAGCAGAGTCAGACACAAATGTGTTGATCTTTGGTCTGCTCATTTTGTGATCGTCCAACTCGGTCACCAGAATAAATGCTGGCATTGTACATTTCTGCAATGCACAGATATGTTAAATTTGTAGATCTCATATTGAAAATGTTAAAATTTAAGTTCGGTCTTGCCTTGGTTACATGTGTTCTATCATTCCCTCTTCCACAACCCGGAAACTCAGCTCATATACATGAAATCTGAACTGCTTCATTTAAGAAGTGTTGATGATATCTGTATAGAATATCTGTGGTTTGCAGAAATGTACAATGCCAGCATTTTATTCTGGCGCCTGGGCTGGTTTCTCCCAGTATTTTCTAGTGATACCTTACTTCACATTCGCCCTGCTCCACAGTCGTCTTCTATTGACTGCTAAACAGCTGGGGGCTTAGCCTCTGCTCTGGTGGTAGTGGTAGTTACAGAGGAAAAGGAAAGTGCCATTCATTTACTTTACCCATCCATATTTTCCCAGCCAGACTGGGAATTCTGACTGGTGACCTTCAAGCTGCAGGCCACACTCACTTGCCCCTGACTGTTTGAAGAATGTCAGCGAAGATTGATTGTCCTTTAGTCTGTGTTTGTGTGTGTGTGTGTGTGTGTGTGTGTGTGTGTGGGTGGGTGTGTGTGGTTTCCACTCCTTACCTGTGGAGCACTTAGAGGAAAGAAGCATCTCGTTTTAAACAGCAATCGCATGGTCCAAAATGTTTGGCACAGCAACAAAATGCCAATACCACCTCCTTGCTCCCAGGGCTTAACAAGAGGACAGGGTGCCAATACCCAGCAAGACTGCATGCATGTACATGTTTGTATGTGTGTAAGGTTGTGTGTTAGTGTGTGTATGTACCCATAATAGTGGCTATATGCTACAGTGTGTTTTTCTTTTGAAAGCCAAACTCCTGCTCAAGGCTTGTTTTCACTAAAGCAGCAGAAACCCTGGTGATCTGTCCAGATAAATTGCATTCGGCAATGCTGTGTCCCCTGTGTATAAAGACAATTATCTTCTGTTCTTTTCATTAATGTTTTTCTCAGTAATTATTCTATATGAGTATCAAGCATACTGAAACACTTGGGTGCAATAAATGTGCCCAATATATATATAAACCATGATAATAAACCTTGTTTATGAAGCACTTCTGTTCTACAGAGCATTGCAGAATAAAGGCACATCAATATCACATCAGTGTCCTGCCGTTCCATTTAAAAAAGAAAGAATTATCCTTGAAATTGTCACATTTTGTTTTTTTCCACTTACACAAAATTTTAAAAGTACTTCAGAAATAACCTCAAACAAAAGGATTTCAGGTGAGCTAGACCTTTATTTTGAATTGAATTGAATACATCTGTCCTCTAAGGTTTGTTGAAGCCAATGGGGTGACATCTTTTTGCAGTACAGCAATTTTCAGGTGTTTTAATAATGTTCGGAAGAGATGTAAATACTCTATTTTCATTTAACATCTATAGATAATCGCTTAAATACATTTCTGTTTGATTTGTGTCCATTTGGTTGTAATTTTGATCAAAAGCAAAATGAGAAATTAAAAATTTTGATTTTAATGCCATTGAGTACATATCCACATTCCCATATACTCAGGCCTCATTTACACCGCAAGCAATGCATTTGCATAGCGCTCACAAACGGTCGCTGTTTACTTGTGGTTTCATTTTGGCGAGCATGTTAGCAGATTACAGCATTCACACCGCATCCGTTCTACGCGCTGCTTGAGTTGCGCTGCTTTCGCAAGCAAGACCGAAAATAGAAGAGACGCCGATTTTTTTGCGCAAGTCGCGAGCGAATGGTCGGGGTTTTAAACAAAAAACACGAGTTTGCGTGTGTTGTGACCTCTCTCGGCCACCGTAGACATCTCCCCCTTGACAAAGCAAGACCTGACAGGCACATGTTTCATGTACTTACCCATTTCTAGTGCTAAATATTAATTCCAAGCACTGGAATAATCACTGGCGCAAACCTGTCCACCCTGGGCTCTGGGTCCAAACTTCTTCTTCTCTGGGGTTTATTGGAGATTTGCAAACACAGTGCACTACTGCCACCAACTGTTCGGGTGTGGTTTGTATTTTGACGGGACAGCAGCGGCTGCTGCACAACGCGTCTGTTCGGTTTTGGTGTGAATAGCGTGTGCTGCCGCTATGCTTGTGGACAGCTACGCGAACGCATCGCTTGCGGTGTAAATGAGGCCTCACACACAAACAGCAATGACATATCCCTACTTGAATAATGTATTGACATCATTCCATTATTGAATTTTGTCCATAATTCTATAGTTTCATTGCAAGTAGTATACTGATAAGGATTTAGGTAAATCTGATTATATTGAATAAAGTTTGATTCAGTCTTAAGTATAAAAAGCATTCAGATTTGCATTCAACAAGACAATAAAATTTGCATTATTACTTACAGCCACGCTATAATTATATTATATGTTATATATTGGTGACATTGGTGAGACATTTTCCCCATTCATCAAATATGTTCTAATTCTAATCTAATCTAATTTCTAAATAAGAAAATATGTGCCATGCTACGACAAGCGACCACACCACAGTCAAACATAGTCATCAACAAATGTAATCATAATCATAATCATAATCATAAATTTATTTAACAGATTGTGATCATTATTATGACTTGTATTTTATTCATTCAAATATATTAAAAAGTGGAAAACTCGAATGTAATATGAGTGTTTTGTAGGCTATACCACTGTCAATTGTGATATAGTGTGTGCACATTTCCTAGTGGCCCTCAATAATATGCTAAGGGGCCACACAAGGGAAAATCCTGCATAGTATACCTTTAAATATGTGATTACAGCCCTGATTAGAGACTTTACCATTGATTTGGATAAGCAAAAGTTACATGCTGTTATTTTTCATGTATGAAACTCTTAAAATGTACCATAGGATGCTGTGATATTTAATTCTTTCATTCATGGACCTGAGCTCACAGATTTGAATCTGCGTGTTCTAACGTGATTCCCTTACTTGAATTTAAAGATGTCCATGCAAGTGTTATGACACAGTGATGGGGGAACCCTGGAATCATCCAGATTTATTGAAAGGGATCCTATCCAAGCAGTCAAACAACAAACAGACAGAATGGCCCAGTCACACTGATTTACCATCATCCTCACTGTACTACCAGCACATGAGTAGGGATCTGATTATGCAAGTGTTGTGACACATGAGCCATATACTGTAAATCCCAAACTGTGTGTGGTTGTATCTCTCTGTCAGTGTTCAGGGAACCTCGACACACACAACCACCTCCCCCCTATGTTGTGTATTCTTGCTGCACAGCTATCCATCTCATGATGAATCGCCGTATTAACCCATAACCCCTGTCGTCACAGTGCTTTCTGTGTGGGTGTATGTGTTCAGGGATGTTGGGTAGAGAATAGATGGAGATCTATATTTGTCTTTGGTATTGTTTCTGAATAATTTGAATAATGAGTTGCGTATATTTCTATGAAGCTACAATCACATGCAATATTTCAAACTAAAATATAATATTTGCTCTTGTTCTAAAAATGCGGCATATAAAGGTGTTGACACTAGAGGCAAGTTCAAAGCTCTATAAATTATGTACCAGAGCACCTTCTTCATTTTCTATACAGTAGCATATTCTCTAATAGCAACACTTCAGACCAAACCACTGGAAAGACACAGCTCTTACTGTATGTTGTGTCAAAGGACAGAGACACATGATTTACAGCAGTCTCACCTTGGTGTAGTTGCTACATTTTTCGTCTACTACAAAGCATGCTGACAGTCTTGTGAAGCAGTGAGTCACTTTGATGTCGAGGTTATGAATAAAAATCTACTGTTTCTGTAGAACCTTGCTGCTTGCTTCAAGAGAAACTTCAGCATTAAACAGAATAAGGGATCACATGGTCTTTGACAGTTCAGTCTACACCTGTAAACACGATAAACTCTCTGCCAGTGTGTTGAGTCTTTCAACTTTTGCTTTAGCATTCTGACACTAACTGAACACCTGCCGGTTCAGGGACAATACAATAAATTCATTATGATTAAGGACTTATATACACATAGATATGCAAACACAAACAAATCCAAGTTAGTGGCAAAGTTATTGACAAAGTCATCCAGAAAGAAGCCTGAGGGCCTTATTGTTTTACCCAGTGCAAAGCAGTGCACAGTACAATTGTAATTGCCAGTTTCCTGCTGATGCAGTCATCATTTTCACGGCTAGTGCCCACATTGCGTAACTAGCAGATGTACTTGCACCCATCTGTGCACCAATGGGTGTGTAGGTCTTAAAATGAGGTGTGATCAGGTGCATTGTTGGCGCATTGCTATTCTGCAGCAGCAGAAAGTGATTGCACCTTTTCCTGACATTTAAAGGGTGCATTATTTAGACAGAATAGCCTTTATTGTCATTATGCATTCCTGTACAACGAGATAGGAGAGCTACTCCTTTAAAGTGCCAACGTGTACAAACAATACACAATACAAATGCAATAAATAATACCCATCACTTCACACATCACATCATTCACACAGACATCATTCACATAGACAGTTTAAAATATGCAGCAAGTTTAAGATATGGACAGTTTTAAAATATATTGCACATGTGTCTTACTCAGTCGGTCAGTAGGAGGGAGTGCAGTGAGTGAGAGTAAGATGCATCTACGTACGTGGGTTTAAAGCACACATATACTTCTTACAAACACAGGGAAACATGGATGGGTTGGGAGTGGGTGAAAAAATACATCACACATTGAAATTTTTAAAATGTGAATGTAGCAGAGAGCAGAGCAGAGCTGCAGAGTTCCACATTCAACTCCCCATTAAGGATATCTGCTTTTGTTACCTGGAAAATCAGAATATACTGTCCATAGCCTTAAAAAATCGATTTTTGCCATATTTTTGGGAATAAAATGTCACATAAATCAGACTAGGAATGATTTATTAACAAATCTGTAAATATCTTCAGAATATAGCTAGGTGTATAACTGGAAAGTTTGGTGTACATAGGTGCTACAGAGGCTGAGATGTTCGACTTGGAGTATGTCAAAAAACTCATTTTGAGAAAACATTCAAAGGCATTCAAAGATTTACATAATAACATAACATAATACAAGTAGACAAAGTGTAATAAAATAAAGGTCTAAATGTATAATTTGAATGTTTTCTTTATAGCAGTTTGAAAGAATACATATTCAAGGAGTAAACTAGCCCAAAATCTCAAAATTGACCACTGCATGAAAAATCAATGTTTTTGCCTGCCATGTCAGACACTGTGCACATTTACACACCAGGAGTAGTCTAACTTTATTGATTATTTCAGAATCTAAAAGTTTAGTCCTGTTTCCTCTGTCAAGTTTAAAACAAAAGTTTTTAGTTTTATGGCTGAAATGTCCCACGATATTTGCTGCAGTGGCATTACTGCTCTTACTGCATTACTCTCAGCAGAAAACTGCTCACTTCTCCAGTTTACCAAAATCGCCATTTAAATAGCAGTGCCCAAGGTGCAGGCGCACTTGGTTTTTAAAGGGAATGGGAGATGACACTCTGATTGGATGAATTCATGTTACACCCAAAACACACATATGAATGATTAAGGGACAAAATACAACTTTTTTTTTTTCTTTCTTTTTTTGCCTCTTTGCGCCCACACTTTGCACTTAACTCGCAAAAGTGGAGTTGGACATGTCTGAAATTCACTTGTGCTATGCACTTTAGATCCTGCACTTAATGTTAATTAAAACAGCTATCGGTACCAAGGTTTGGAACAGAGTTTCATGGTGACATAAAACTATCTAAGATCACAATAATACCAGGACAGTTAAGTATTTTCTGTTTGTGCTTTCCTAAAATGGTTGGCTGTTGCTTAAAGTGAAAACACTGTAGAATCTGTTGACACACTACTTCAGATGTCAACAACCACTCCAGCCTTTTCCTCCACATGCCTCAGTGTCTATCTGTCTCATTCAGGAGGCCCTCATCATGGCTAGCATGGAGCACCCCCACCTGGTCCGCCTGCTGGGCGTCTGCCTGAGTCCCACCATCCAGCTGGTCACACAACTGATGCCTCATGGGTGCCTGCTCGACTATGTCCATGAGCACAAGGACAACATCGGATCCCAGCTGTTGCTCAATTGGTGTGTCCAAATTGCTAAGGTAAGGATGGAAAAGGTCGCTTTATTAGCTGTTCTGCTCCCTGGACGGTTGATCGGTTCGGGGATTGGCCTGGTTGCTTGGTTGAGTATTTGGCAGGCTGGTGAATTGGCAGATTAGCAAAGGGTTGTTTTTAGTATTGATAGATAACTTTTGTTACCTCAACAGTTTGTTCATCAGTGGATCTTCTTCACAGATTGATTCTTTTTGCTGCCTCGACTGTTGCACCAAATATCTGAATCAGTCATTTATGATAAATTGGAGAGTTGGCGTTATTAAACCCATCATGGATCTCTATTAAAGACTGTGGATCTTCTGCCTTATATTTCAGGATCACACTGCAACAGTTTTCTGGTAAAAAATTTCACAAATCATTTTGACTGTTGTTCAATGACCTTTTGTATTGATCCACCTACTGTAAATGCTATGTTCTTGCAACACATATTTTTTTCTGTTTTACCCATCTATGTCTCTTTCCTTAGGCATAAAAACATCTTTTCTCTTTTTCACTACTTGCATTTTGCTGCTGTAAGCATCCGATTATGCTTAGAATTTCTCTCTCTTTCCCACTTTTGTGTTGTGTTGCTGCAGGCTGCCATGCATCTTTGCCCTTTTTGAAACCTTATTGTATAAGCATTTGCTTTGGATTACATGTTCACACAAAACTACCGAAGCACCCTTACGCCCTCTTATAACATGTCTTGGCTAATAGAGGCCAAGTGAATTACTTTATTGCTCCCAGAGTATAAAGTAGATGTCTACGGATATTTGGTAAAGTGTCCATGAGTGTGTGCTGGTGTGTGTGGAGGATTCAGCTGCAGACAGCGGCGCCCCTAGCCAGCCTCTCTGGAGAACTCAAGTAAATAATTCAAAGCCTTGCTTGACTTTGGTGGGGGAAGCGTTGAGTGCAGGGAGCTCAGTGTTACAGGATCATGGTTGTAGGAGTGCATTATAATGTGTTGTAATCTATTTGTCAATATTAATAGGTGACAGAAACAGAGTAATGTTCTCCCTTTCTCCGACTCTGTCTGACTCAAAAATCACCACAGAGTTGAATCAACATCTGATGCAGTACAGCAACTAGGGACAGGAATCACAGAGTAACTCACAATACAATACTGTCACTATACGTTACAAACGATAAGGATGGTATCACAATACAGCAATATTGCAATACTTGATACAAGACAATTATATATGATACATCACGATGTCTATGTAACAGAAGAAGAACAAATACCCCTAAAAAGGCAAAAATGAGAAATTAAATATATTTCTTTCTACACTTTTTCAAATATGTGTCCGTTACTTTCCATTACGTTTTCGAAATCCATTTGAACCTCTTAATATAGGCTTAAATTAGATCCACTGCACAGCACTTTTTAAAGAGAGAACGTCCTCCTGAGACTCTGTGTCCTCATATTAGGACATCAGATTTTGGGTTTCCTGCACCTTATACTTCATTCTACCTGACTAAGACCTGTTGTCCTCATTTGTGGACACTTTCTGTGCCATATAGTGGTAATAAGAGCACAGTACACTAATCTGTGGAAAAACAAAATGGCAGCCATCTCTGCTAAGTCAGTGTGCAGCCAATTCTGGCACAAAAGAGGACTAGGTCCAAAACCTGATCAAACCTTATGGTTGAAACTGTTTGTATTTTGATATGGTAACAAATTTGACCAATTTTAGCAACAGTATAAAAGCTAAGACACTGTTAATTATTAAAGTACTCATTTGAAGTCTTTGGGACTGTCGTCTCATTTGAGGATATTGGGACTTTGTTGTCATTGACGATGTTTAGTTTTTTTATACTTGTTGGGTCCTAATGACTCTAAATAGCTAGAAGAAATCAGAAATGCATACCAAACAAAAGTTCGAGTCTCAGGAGGATATGTCACTATTAAAGCTGGTTCGCCTTTTACTCTTGTTATTTTCTTCCTCCAAAACAGTGATAAAGAACACCAGGAGCAAATGGCAGGAGTCAAGATTTCATTAACACAGAGAACAACACAGGGCAAAACAACATCACTGATGTGTTTTAACCGAATACTCTCTGGACCAGCTCAGTTAAAACCAAAAAACACAGAATCCAGCAGTACTTTAAGATGTTGTCGCCACAAGTTAGTGACCTTTCATTAACTATACCCTCATTCATTTGATAAGCGACACCATGAGGAGGTACTGTTGTGAATCTGGTTAGTCAGGAATCTGTTCAGAGCACCTGCATGTTTGAATATAAATATCAATATCTGACATCAGTGTAGTGTACAAGAGGAAATAAAATGATGTATGTCTGTATCAATATTTTGTCCCATTCTTAATAACACCCCTGAACACCTGAGAATTATGGGCAAACACATTTTTAATCATGTATATATTAATTATCCAAAGGTATTTATTGCAGGGTTATTTCATTAGATTGACGAAAAGTTTTATTTGTAACGTGATATAAATATATCTCCATACGTGCTGCGTGTAAAAGATGGCTGATGAAACTGTCACACACACAGAGCAAAGCAACTGGTTCAAAAGCCAAAGAAGCAGAGTGCACACGATTTAGCAGTCACTTCAGTCCCAGATTTAATATCTTAGACAAATATTTCTATTGCCATTTTTGGCTAAATCAGGGGCAGGCAGTACTCCAGCGAGCTTCCATGGAAAAATATTAAACCATCAATTAAACTTTGGTACACAGTTATGATCACACCACATAAAGTGCTTTTTTTAATATACCAAAGGCGATCAGAGCATGCATTAATTCTCGCCGCGCTGACAAACTTCCCATGCTGTGTAACACAAATATTTTTCATGGTATGGAATTAATCACACAAATTACTTTGTGGAAAAAGGATGTGGATCGGCTATATACACATGAATAAATACATGCCCGCTGTGAACAGTTGTCAACATGGAGAGATGTATAATTCATAAAGGGTAGATATGATGATGTATTATTTACCACTGTTATTCTGTGTCTCAAGCGTGTATTGTTTAGTGTTTTCAATAATTGGCTTCGGCTCCTGGGGACTCAAATAGCCGTCAGGGGCCACGGTTAATAAGGTGCCTACACATGGGTTTGTGCTCACACAAAGTGTCCTACACAATGCATTTGTCTAAATAATACCAACAAGGTGAATTCAGACCACCATCAACATTCCAGTGTGTGGTGCTCATAACAACTTGAGTCAAACATCTTTCCTACAGATTATTTCCTTATCTCTATCATAGACGTATACATCCACTCACATAGGGTCTTATGGGGCTCTCAAGGCACTTGCAAGTGACAGGGCTCCACTTTCTGGGGCGACGTCCCTATGGCCCTCCCTCTCTGTCATGGCCGCCATCACAGCCATAGATTATTAATGGGGTGATCTGCCATGAGAGTCATACTAATGAGCAGATTCATTAGAGCGACTATGCATGCAGGGCTTGGATGCCACTGAATGTTTTTCCTTTTTTTTGTTTTTGTTCCCTGGGTCTGATTTTTCTTTTCCTGTTTTATCTTACTATATTCCCCCACTATAACCTACTATATCACTTTCTCCTCATTATGTCTGCTTGCTTTTTAAATCTCCTCCTCATTCTCCCACTCTGTGGTCTTCTTGTTAATGTATATGAAGTATAGTGTTGCTACAATGTAAGATGTTTGACTTTGGAAGCATAACTACAATACTTAAAATGATATATCATAATATGATTCCACTGCAATAAAAAGAAGTGTTCAGCTGATCTGGACAACGTCCCCAAGAAGCCTGACACTAATTTCTCAACTACTTTAAAGGAAGTAAAATCCACTTGTAGACATACTGTAGTTTTCTGTTTTCAGGGGTAGAGATGTAAATTAATACAATCTATGCCCATACCCCTCTTACACAACAAAATGACATAAAGAGGGAAACTATATAATAAAATTAGCTTATACCACTGTGGTAACAATACGTATTTCCTCTTTCATGTATTACTGCACTGAGCTCTCAACAAGCCATTCATATGCAGCTGGCATGTTTTTGGCAATATCTTAAATTTGAAATGCATTAACATCTCGTTTATTGCTGCTACAATGGATTCCCTCATTCGTTAGCCATAATGCTATTTATCCTGAGGCACTGCTTTCTACATGGTGAAGCTTATAGGGTAATTCAGACTTTCCACATGTCTGCAAGGGTCTGCTTTTGTCCATGTGATGAAGATGTCCGGATTGTCCATGTCTGCAAAGGGTTTCCATGTCCACACAGTTTAATACATTCAGCGGCATGCTTGTGCTTGGCCATGTCCTTAAGCTAGTTTGTTGTCTTTGTCAAGTAGCTGTGGGTTAATCATTCACTCAACACCAGGACTGAGTGAATGATTAACCCACCATTTGGGAACCACTGCCAAAATTTGGCAGATCTTTGCTCTCAAAGACCACAAAAATATGTGATGGCACAACAGTCTCCTTCAGTACATTATTCTATGCTTTCTTTTGATTTTCACATTGGCTAGTCATCCTGTTTAATTTGTCTTCTGATTAAATCAGAACCGTTAAAACAAGTTGTAAGAAGCCTCTGCAAGTAATTGGTTGCTAGCAGACACTCTGTGCTGCAATAAAATGGTTAATCAGCAGTGCCGTGCACTGTAGAGCCGATGTGCTGCTGGTTCTGCCGGCCTGAATAGAATATAATGTCTATAGCCTTACTGTTGTGTACAGCATTTATAGACTGAGCTGAGTAGTGATGCGCGGGTCGACCCGAAACCTGCGGGACCCAAAAATGGACCTGCGGGTCGGGCAGCAGTGATCGTCTGTTAAATCAGTCTGTAAATATTTTGACATTATTGACTATTACTGTCATGGCATCCCAAGGTACTGATGCGTTGAGCAGGTGACAGTCCGCGGTCGTTTTCAAAACACACTTGTGTCACGCACTCCAAAAGAAGCTTGTTGAAACTTTAAACAATAATTTATTGTACAAAACGGGGGAAACAAACGTTGACAAAAACGGTTCCATAATTCATATTAAATT